GTGAGTGGCAGGTCAACACTGACCCACAGACAGAAAAGGGCTTTGGAAGAGGCAGGTGACAGCCTATGCCTTGTGGGACAAGACAAATACATGATGAATGAGGAGCTGCATTCAGAGGAAAAGTATTTGTTAATTAGGATAAGATGATCGACGTGAGTTCTCTTATAGGAAAAAAGCCAAGAATGGAAGTCAATTAGAAATGGAGAGGGACTCTAGAGTCAGGCAGGACCAGTACAAATGCTGGGAACTCCAAAACCATCCATCGTGGGGAAAGAAGGGGTTAAACACTGAACCAACAGAGCAGGTTTGGTACTGTGAACAGACAGAGGCCAGAGAAGCCACAAGACAAAGGCCTTCCACCCTCATTCCTGTAGCCTATGGACATCTCCAGGGTACTTGTAACACAGTGACGTATCATGACTACACAGTAACAGAGCAACCTAAGCTATGTCCTGAAGCACTGTCAATACCGGTAAGAATTATGCTAAATACCACCTGTGTCTATCTCAGAAGAAGGTGGTAGACTCTAGTACATAATGCCATGGTAATCTGTCTGGACTGAGGCAAGGTGACTGGCTTTATTTTCAGCTGAGCTGCAGCCCAGAAATATATGGTCATGGGCCAGGGTAGTAATCTGGGCAGCAGAAGGTGAACAGGGTTAACTCAGTAGACCTGGCTTGTCTAAACCCCACACATTCTAAAGTGCTTTGTCCTTTGACCAGATCCTGGAAGTTATCTCTAAATCCTTTGACTACCTTACCTCGTAATAACATCTGTGTTTACTTGGAGTTTGGGGATAGAGGAAGAAGAGTTTGGGGGTGGAGGAAGAGGACTTTGGGGGTGGAGGAAGAGGACTTTGGGGGTGGAGGAGGAGGAGTTGGGGAGGAGGAGGAGGAGTTTGGGGTGGAGGAGGAGGAGTTGGGGTGGTGGAGGAGGAGTTGGGGTGGAGGAGGAGGAGTTGGGGTGGAGGAGGAGGAGTTGGTGGAGGAGGAGGAGTTGGGATGGTGGAGGAGGAGTTGGGGTGGAGGAGGAGGAGTTTGGGGTGGAGGAGGAGGAGTTGGGATGGTGGAGGAGGAGTTGGGGTGGAGGAGGAGGAGTTGGGGAGGAGGAGGAGGAGTTTGGGGTGGAGGAGGAGGAGTTGGGGTGGAGGAGGAGGAGGAGTTGGGGTGGAGGAGGAGGAGTTTGGAGTGGAGGAGGAGGAGGAGGAGGAGTGATCACCTTGAGTACGGCTCTAGAACTGACTGTGGTGACAGTTATACAACTGAATTCTAAAAATCACTGAATTGTGCACTTTCAATAGGACCCTGTGTGGTCTGCGATCTGTCTTCAAAGCGCTGTTAAACAACGGTGAGATCTGTACTGGACAGAAACCCCACAGGAATGGCAGTCAGACTCGAGTCTCCTCCCCCCGCCTCTTCTATGGTATCTTAGCTCATGGAGGGCTCTGAACATAAGCCCCTCCTCCTCACAGCGTAACACCACAGCCCATGCTTCACTTCGCCCCTACCTGGGTTTGCTTGATCAGCTGATGGAGCTCTGTGAGAAGCTCTGCAATTCGGGAATCAGCAGAAACGAGGGCCATGGGACGAGCCTGTGACGGGCATCTGGTGAGAGAAAAGAAAGGCAGGAAAGCCGTCACTGTCTGCTGTGGGTTGAACTGTATTTCTGACTCACGGAGTCCTGATCCTTGGTGCATGTAGATGATGTCATTGGAAACAGGGTCTTTGCAGACGTAAGTCAAAAGTAAGACGAGACCGTCACCTGGAGCGACTGTGCCCTTATAAGAAGAGACAAACGTACACAAAGGAAAGATAACCACAGAGGCAGAGATGGAGGGATGCAGCAAGCAAGCGACAGTTGGCCTTACACTTGAAAGCTTTGCCTTTGCCTGCAGAATGGCCAGAATGATAGCCAAGCACTACCACTCTGCTTCAAATAAGACTTTACATGAAGATGATTTCAAAGTCAGAGACATTATTTTCTCACTAGAGAAGAAAGAGAAATCACTAAAAAAACAAAAACAAAAAAAACAAAAAAAAACCTTTTTCAAGATAAATTCATTATAATAAAATGTTTTTGCATAACAAAAATTAGAAAAAATGACAATAAAGGGTAAAAAGAGAAAGTGATGACTAGTTGAAGACAGATACATCTAAAATAAAGGTTTACTTGGGATGAGGAACATTCTTTTTGGAGGGGTGCTGGAATTTTGTATAATAGCTGCCTCTTAGAAGGGTTGATCTGGTGCCAGCGATGGTGGTAGATACCTGCAATTCCACCTACTCAGGAAGCACAGGGGAAAATTCCACATTCCAGGCCAGACTAAGCTACATGAAAACTTATTTCAAAAGAGGAAAGAAAACAAATACTGGGTGTGTAGCTCAGTGGTAGTGTTTGCCTAGTGTGCACAGGCCTAGGTTCCATCCTAGCACTGGGACAGGGAAGAAAAGGGAGAAAAAGGCTTTCACGGGACAGGACCCTGAGGGTGCACAACGGGGATCCTAAGGAGGCAAGGGACACAAGGCCTCATGCCCACTCTTTGTATAACCTCACCCAGAGGAATATAAGCAGAAGCTCAGCGTTTTCTAAGAAAGGCTCAAAGAGGTAGAAGACCATGTGGGATGAAGACAAGAGACAAGGTTTACCATGAGAAATGATCTGGTACCAGAGGAGCCCCTTTCTGAGTGTGAGCAAAATGCACACCGAAGAACATCTTCCTAGGCATTGGGGGTGTAACAAAGAAACAGAGAGAGCTGGGGAACAACCCGCTGAGGTGACAAGCAGCCTCTTGAAAAACAGGATGTTGAGCTCAAAGAATAATACAGGTATATTACTGCCGACTGGGCTCTATAGGAAAACTCTGTGCAAAAGGGGTGTGCGTGTGAGTGAGTGCATGGGTGCGTGCATGTAGGTTTAAAAAAAATAAACAAAAATGTCTTGTGGGGCTGGAGAGATGGCTTAGAGGGTTAGAGCATTGACTGCTCTTCCAGAGGTTCTGCGTTCAATTCCCTGCAACCTAATGGTGGCTCAGAGGCATCTATAATGAGATCTGATGCCCTCTTCTGGTGTGTAGGCCAACATGCAGACATAATGCTGTATACATAATACATCTTTTATATATTATATTTTGTTGGTTGTCTTCTAAGTAGAGATTTAAGAGTGCTTCTCATTATTTGACAATGCTGGAGACAATCCTACAGATTCTACAGACAGTAACATTATTAACCTGGAAGGAAACCCAAGGCAGCGGTGCTTTCAAGAGATTCCTACACTGGCAAAGCTACTGATCATTTTTGGTCTTAATTGGCACACCACCAACTTACAAACATTTGAAGGTCATGCCGGGGTCACTACATTCCCTTCTCAGTGTGACTCTGTACCCTCTGTGACCAATCTCTTTTTGGTGATGAATTTAATGTCTCATTTGATGTTGAGTTGTTTGAGATGTTGTACAAAGAGCTGTGCAACCATCATGATCAAACTGCAGTGAAACTCAAAACACCATCTAGAACACTGAAGAGGTCTCCAGATACACAGAAGGACATCAAGAAATTCCTTGACTTAATTATTCTGATGCGCCAAACAAGAAAATATAGCTTGGGAGACTATTGGTCAACAGATCCTTTGATATGCACCCTTATATTTCCACAGACAATGAGTCGCCATAGATTTGAGCAAATATAGACATTCTGGCATTTCAATTAGAATGCCAAAAAGGACAGTCTCTTGGGGATACTTTTTAAGTTCCAACAGGATTATTTCCTGCATAAATTTCCAACAATATACAAACCAAAGCAACAGTTGTCTTTGGATAAGGGAGTGATTCCAGGGAGAGGGCGTTTATAATTTCCCACACACAACGTAATGGAAATTGATATTGAGGCCATTTGGATTATACTTCCTGCTCTAACTTATCCTTCTCAGATGTGATGATGCTGATGACTAACTGTGGCTTTATCAGTTTAACAGATGTAAGCAAACCAGTTCCTCCTCCCAAGGCTACAGTTTCTTGGTCAGTCCATGTGGTGGTTTGAAACAAAATAACCCCCAAAGGGAGGGGCACTATTAGGAGGTGTGGCCTTGTTGGAGTAAGTGTGGTTTTGTTGGAGGAAGGGTGTCACTGTGGAGGCAGGCTTTGAGGACTCCACTCATATGCTCAAGTCATGCTCATGAGACAGTTCACTTCCTGTTGCCTTTGGATCAAGATACAGAATTCTCCAGCACCATGTCTGCCTGCATGCCACCACACTCCCAGCCATTGTGCTCCCCACCATGATGCTAATGGACTGAACCTCTGAAACTGTAAGCCGTCACCGGAATTAAATGTTTTCCTTTATAAGGGTTGCCATTGCCATGGTCATGGTGTCTCTTCACAGCAACGGAAACTCTAAGACAGTTCAGTTCAGTTCATATGTAAAAATTAGGCCTCCCTTTTCTACAGCTGTAGGTCTCCTACTAAGAAAGGCAGAAAGTTTACCTTGCTTCACACTAAAAGAGAGAAACTCACAAAACAGGTTTCAGTGTAAACTTTTATTATTCCTTTATTTAATGAACTTGCTTCATTTACAATGCTCTCAATAATCCACCACCTGTGTTTCATGGTGTTTGATTGGATGGAAAGAAAAGGTTTGAAATGTATGTAAGTTGTGAGAATCTAAGAAAGTAAATGAGAGTTGTGAAGGTCTAAGAATGTGAACGTTTAAGTAAGTTCTGAGGGTATAGGAAAGTGACATAAAGCATGTAAATGCAAGCTATAAAGGTCTGAGGAACTGATTTAGGGTATGTGAAAATGAGAAAGGTTTCAGATTTCTTCTCCTCTTTGCTACTGTTATATTAAGATTTCTAAAGTTCAGAGTTTTAATATTAATCAGTGGAGTTCTGATAGGCTATTTATCCAGCCCTGGTAAAGCAATGACTGTTACCAAGTCACAAGCTCAAAACTGTAAATGTTCTTGGTTGTCTTCTAAGTAGAGATTTAAAAGTGCTTCTCACTATGCTGAAAACATCTCTGTCCAATCTACACATCCAGCCCTCTGGAGAGAGGAAAGTGTGTTCGCGCTTTAAACCCCAAACCACAGCTTTTGCTATGACTCAACTCTTTACAAACACAATGAGGATCTCAGTACAGATCACTAACAGTGGTAATGCTAATACATCAAAAACTTGTACCCCTTTTTGTAAACATTAAAAAAAAAGCTCATGTAAACTTCAGTGAGCTATGACTTGTACCTACCTGTCACAGGTCAAACTGACTCCAGGTGAGTACTCTTGTCAACCAACAGCCTAAGCCTCCCTGCCTACTGCCTATTCCTAAGGGTGGGATATCTATCTCTTCCCTCACCCTACACACACCCAATGCCTGCCTTGGGACTACTTCCACATCCCCAACTACCAGGACTATGGGCCTGAAAGTTTCAAAAGTACACCTGAGATAAAACACTTTCCCCTACACTTAACTTCTGTCCCTACTCTGTATCTGTCCCATCTGTTTCCATCACCTGGAGAGTGCAAACTGTTCCCAGACTGCCTGCAATGCTCCAGCTGTCCAATCGTTCATTCAGAACCTGCATCCCAGACTGCTCCAAAGGGCCTGCACTTCACTAGCCCCAGGTGGTCCCTCAGGATCTGGGCAGTGATGGAAACAGATGTGACCCCAGCATGCACTTCTCTCTCCCTTCTGGGCCTTGACCAGCACTCCAACCTCCCTGGGCTCCTACTACCACACCCCAATTTCAGCTAAGAATCAGGTACACAGGAGATTATGTCACTTTTTATTATCAACAAAAAGGCTGCAAGGTTAGGTCCTAAAGAAACTCAGGACAAATGGCTAACTGTGTTGTCTATTAGCACACAAAGTGTCTGCCTGGACTCCAGGCTCACTCAGCACCTGTGGCTTCTCAGCACTTCTCACTTTGGCCCTCCCTAAACCTCTCTAGCCCAGGAGACTTCTCTTCCCTCTCCCAGCTTCTTGTACCTATATAACCATGCCATTTTGGTCACGTGCTCTTTTGGTTCTCTCTTAATCCTCTTGGCCCTCTCCCCCCATCCCACACCCATCTCCTCTCATGACCCAGTTCAGTCTGGATCCTTCCGGATGCCCCTGGCGTATTCTCTCTCCTATCAACACTACAATCCTTCTCCTCAGCCCTACACTGGGGTGCCATGTCCTCATTTCCATTCACAGCTGTCTCTCCAGTCCTGTCCTTCACAGAACACAGCTTGTTGCAAAGGCTCAGGCCAGCCCCATTCCAGAGCTGCTGCTGTCCTTGGCAATCATCCCATGATCATGGCACCTCCAAATAAGCTGGTGTCTCTACTACACTGGGTGGCACCGCACCAATAGCCTCTCCTGGGCTCTCTTCAGGGCCCCTGCCACACGGTGCCAAGCCTCAGCCGCCCTCCAAGACCCCTTCCATCCCAGAGTTTCCACTGCAGCTGAGGCTGCACTTAACCAATGGCTTCTCACATGCCAGGCCTCAGCTGCTCTCCAGGATCCCTTCAAATCCTGAAGCTCTCATGCCACCACAACCAGTGATGCAGGGAGATTCTTACATAGTATCAAGTTCGGTTGCCGGCTGGAGATGCAGCCTTGGCTCTCTCTGGA